TTCATCGTACTTGTTGATCTTGTATCAAACTTTCTCATTTATTTTTAATTCCGTGACTCATTTCTACATTAACTTATTTGTTGGATTGAAAGTGCAGTTTATGGGACAAGAGTACTAGTATAGCAGGTAAGGTGCTTGCTTTACATTCATTGACCTGGTATTGTTCCCTAATACCTCATATGGCCCCTGAACCCACCAGAAGGTAGCCCTGAGTACAAAGTCAAGAGATTCACTCTGAGTACCACTAGGTATGGACTCAAAAAACAAGAAAAAAAGAGAAAATTCAGACTACAAAATACCATAAATTTAATTGTATCAATTGTATCACTTGTCATCCCTATGATCATAGATTTGCTCAAGCAGGCGCCAGTAACGTCTGCATTAGTCCCTGTCTCATGCTAGTGTAGCCCAATGACATCTGCTCAGTCCTGAAACACGAAGAGCATCAAACCGTTCGTTCAGGTTCTTGATGAAGAAGTCCGACCATCACGTAGGTGGGCAGCCAGGAGTTCTTTTGATGTCTCATGGAATCCATTTGGTAACAGCTCTAGTTTAGCGGTCATTTCCAAATCGAATTATGTATCCAGCCTATCTGATTTTTGATGCCTTGGCAAATGAGGCAGCGTCCCTGATTCTCGATCATCGATGGAGGACAGAACTCCGGAACCCTTCTCTCACTTGAGTGAAGTGTGATACTCCAAGCATAGCTCCTTCCATTCCTTGAATTCCTTTAATTAAGTAAATTTAATTAAAGAAGTATAACTACGCTACTTGTTTATCTGCTTGAGACATAATTTGGTATTTTTTTTTTATCTTTTCAGTTAAGAACTGAAACTCCTATATATCTTTATAAGGAACACAAAGCTGTCTCCTTGAACTTCTTGAAGTTTTCACATTAATTGTATTAGAAAAACAGCAGCTTTCTTATTTGTTCATTAATTCACTAAAAGTTTACTATGCAGTGACCACCATCTGCTAGACCCAATTCCAGGAGCTACAGATTCAACAGTGGAAGAGATCTACCATCATGCAGCCTGAGAGAAGGTGGAGGGGAACTACACCCCTATAAGTGATGAGCACTGACAATTATTTCTCTATTCTATCATAGTTAATGATCATTCCACACTATTGGATTAAAATCTTCCAACATGGAGTGAGGTTTTCTTTAAAAAATTCATTTAGTTATTTACTTTGGATTATAATACTATAAATAATTGTTTCTAATAAACATAATCTTAAAACTGCATAGTATTCCACTGTGTATGGATACAAAAAATTCTTGATCCATACAAGTTGGGCATTTGGGTTGTTTCCATGACTTGGCTATTGTACTGAGTGCAGTGATGAATATAGATGTGTGTATATACCCCTTTGAATTAATGCTTTTTTGTGTGTCTGGGAGATAGATGCCAAGAAAGTGGTATTGCTTTCTTACATCCAGATCTCTACCCATTAAACCATTGAAATGTGATTAAATCATAAACTGAAAGTATAGATAAGATTGAAAGTGATATTATAATCAATTCATCCAAAATGATAAGGGAAAGAAAAATAGAAAAGGTATAAAATAGCCAACAAAATAATGAATTTTAATTAAAATATATAATTTTTTACGTGAAATGAAAGTTGGATGAAGGATCAACTGAAAGATTATTGGTTTACATAAATAAGCAACTCAACTGGATGCTGTCTATAAGAAATTAGTTTTAGTTTTCACTTCCTTACTTCATTTCCTTCCTTAGCATAGTTACCTCAAGTTCTAGCTATTTTTCTCTTAATTTTATATAAAAAACTTACTAGATTAAAAGTGATTTATTAAAACTTATTTTAATAGAGACTATACAAGTGTGATAACTGTAGCACTGCAGCACCGTCCTCCTGTTGTTCATCAATTTGCTCAAGCGGGCACCAGTAACGTCTCCATTGTGAGACTTGTTACTGTTTTTGGCATATTGAATACACCATGGGGAGCTTGCCAGCTCTGCCATGAGGGCGGGATACTCTCTGTAGCTTGCTGGGGTCTCCAAGAGGGATGGAGGAATCGAACCTGGGTCAGCCACATGCAAGGCAAATGCCCTACCTGCTGTGCTATTGCTCCGCCTATATGCAATAACTATTTTGATTGAATTAAAAACTAGAAAAGGCCATTCTTCAGATAACTGGTAAAAACTATGCATTGAAAAAAATAGTAAAATATTATTTTTTAATTTCAAAATATTACTAAAATTAACAAAGTATGAAATATATATAAGAATAATATTAGCAATATTAAACAATTTCTTTGTGAAGGGAAGCTGGAGGAAGACTCAACCATACCCATCACTATCTCTCAAGTTGGCTTATATTTAAACAATAATGAATATTAATAAACACAAGACATACGGCAAAAAAAATGTTCTGCTCAGGAATGTTTGCAACTGATGTCCCAGGGTATGCGACACCCACTATTTAACAAGAGAGAACTCAGAACTTCTCCAGGTAAGAATCGCTGTGAGGCTAAGACTCAGCTAATCTTGTCACTATTATCTTAACCAAAGCCTGGTGTGAACCAAAGGCAAAGAACTCACAAGGAAGGAACCCACAACTGATAACATTGCCCTTAGAAGTTTTAAATATTACTGAATACTCTTACTAAATACATACAACTCTTTATTACTGAATAAAACATTTTCTTGTTGATTTAACCTCACCATCATTTCCTGGGCAGGCCCAGAGTTGCTCATGATGTTCAGGGATTAACTCCCACACTTCTTTTGCAACCCTCATGTGTGCACCCCGCATGAGGTGGAGTTAATTTGGCAGTCCTCTCTTCCTTCCCTTGAAGAAGTTGAACCTTTTGTTTGGGAGATCATCCCACAAAATTTTCGCATATCTGTTTTTCTATCTATCATCCATCTTATTTATCTCTAAATGACTCTGATCTTCTCATGACATTCCTACAGGGTTGAGGTGCTCATACAATTTTTAAAAATAAATACTTGCCTGAGGATTTTTTTTAAAGAATCAGTCATTGACTATTTATTTATTTGTTAAGATTCAGGATTTATTGTGGTGAGTGAGATGGGGTGGTTGAGTGCCAGGGTAGTGAGCAGGGACTGAGGGGCAGGTCCAAGACTCTCATGAGTGTAGTACCCACCATTTGTCTAGAGGCCCATGGTTTGGGATGTGCGATATCCAGAGTCATCTGGGATGAGCCACGTCTCAGCCACCATGTCTTCAAACTCATGTGAATTATTAACTTGGTAAAGACCCACTACCTGGACATGTGGATCTTCTGGCGACCAGAAAACTTGAACTTGGAAAAGCCCAGAGCCTCTATCACACATTCTTTGTTCTGTATCTTGGTGCAAATGGACATGATAACTTGGCCAATATGGACCCTGGCCACCGTGTTCTGGGGCTTTGCAAAGGCCTACCACATACCTGTTTGGAGCCTGAGATTGTGGTCAGCATGAGAGCATATAGGAACATCCACGGCTATTGGATAACATTGGGTTGTCCTTGCTGCTCCCACAGGGAGCTTAAGGTTTATTGAGTCACTCCCACAACAGTGCAACTGAGGCACACCCAATTCCATCAAGCACTAATAATCCAAATTGGTTTTCTCTTTCCTTTATGTCATTTGCATGGTTTATTTAGCAATGCCCTTCTTGTATAGACACAGGAAGACAGTTGATGCTATGCTATGTAACATGGGAGTTAATTGACTCCAAAATAATATTTACTCCTGGGCAACCATATTTACTTGACTTAAGCCTCAGTTGCCCTTAGTGCCTAGCACTATAAGAGCAGGGTCCCAAGAGGGACTGGATAGACCCAGGGCAAGCTGTGAGCTACCCTGGCATCAAAATGGGCCAGGCCAAGTGCCATAATACTTAACTATAAGTTAAGAGCACAGTCATGGACAAATTCTGTAATGACCCAAAAAGTAGTCACTGAATAAGGACCCTGCTGGGGTTAGGAAAGACTAACCTGACCTGAGGACTATGGTCTGGAATATATAGTGAGATGTCCCCAGAAAGAGCCAAACTTTAAGCTTAATGTAACTCTTACTGTGTTCATATAAAATGGCATTGCTAGAAATATTATAAGAAGTAAATTTACTGTGACTGTTTAAATGGATTGCTATCTGAGGAAAGGAGAAAGCAATATGCCCTGGATGGAATCCTGCCCTTGAGCAGATTACCTAGTAATTTGGAATGCTAAATCCTTAGATGAGATTTTGTCCTTGAGTTAATCTCCTGAAGGAAAGGTTTTACATCTCTTTGTTGCTAAGATAGTGTTTAACCCCACCTTTGTATTCCCACCCTTCATGATTTCTATATAACTATGTTGTAAGGAGTAAGAAAGGACAGGACTAGACCACTAGACTTTGGGAGGAGATGAAGACAAGACCGTGGAACTAGACTCTGGGAAGGAGATACTGAGAAGGAGAAAGTGAAGACTAGACACTGGGATGGAGATGCTGAAGATGCTGAAAACTAGATATTAAGGACTAGACTCTGAGGACCTTAGTGCGTAGCACTCTAAGAGCTATTGAAGACGTTGGGACTAGATGTGGGGGACAAGAAAGTTGGTATATGTTGGGAATTAGATGCTGAATACTAGATGCTGAAGACTAGATATTGGGGAAGAGAACATCTAGGATGACGAGACGTTGAAGATGAGGAGAAGAACTAAGACTTTGGAGACTTTGGGACTAGAAGGTGAACCAGATGATGACGATGACTGGAAGTAGAGGACTATGAAACAACAATGAGACGAGGAAGAGGATGTAACGAAGTGAAGGACTTCGAGGTCTATGAAGGGACTAGGATGATGGAACTCTGGTGTCTGAAACTATGGCTGAAATAACGACTATGACTGTGCCAAAAGCGAGAGATTGGACGACGCTGGGAAGGAGAGAGAAATAAAGTGACTACCTGCCAGCCCGGGGCCCCGGCTCCTGTTTCTCCATTCTCTGGTGTCTCTCCCATCGTCTGGCAACTTACATGTGGCAAAGGTGTCTCCAAGGTCCCTAATAATAGCCCATACAAGTAACAGGCTGTGTACACCACCAAGGAAGCCGCTACTGTCTGCAGCCATTGTGCACCAGGCCCCATGGGGCAGAAAGCATCACCAGCTGTTTATTTGTCTGGGGAGGTCACATCCGGCATTGCTCAGGGGTTACTCCTGGCTTTGTATTTGGGAGTTACTTCCAGTGGTTCTTTGGAGACCATATGGGTTGCCAAGGATTGAACCCTGCCATGTTCTTCACAAATACCCTACCTTTTGGACTATATTATTCTAGCCCCCTAAATGTGTTTGTTTGTTTGTTTAACCTCTCAGCCATCTGAAACTTTTGTTTGTTTGTTATTTTGGGTCTTACCTAGCAATGCTCAGGGCTTGCTTCTGTCTCTGTGCCAGGAATTACTACTGATGGTGCTTGGGGAGCCATATGGGATATCAGGAATCGAATATCTGGGTCCACCACATGCAAGGTAAGTGACCTACCTTCTCTACTATCTCTCCAACCCCAATGAACTTTACAAACTTAATTTTTAAAAAATTAGGCCACACCTGGTGGTGTTCAGAGCTTAATCCCGGCTCTGCACTCAGAAATGACTCCTCACAGGGCTTGGGAAACATATGGGGTGCAAGGGATAGAACCTGGTTCTGTTGTATGCAAGGCAAGTGCCTAACTACTGTAATCATTCCAGGCCTTTCTTGAGGCTTCTTTAAGGGGTGGAGGGATAGTACAGAGGGTACGGTATTTGTTTTCCTTCCGCATGGTCGACCTGATGATCCCCGGTATCCAGTATGTCCCCCCAAGCACCACTAGGAGTAATTCCTGAGTGAAGAGCCAGGAATAACCCCTGAGAATCCCCAGGTGTGACCCCAAAAGCCAAAAAGCAGAGAGAGAGAGAGAGACACACATACACACACAGACACACACAGAGAGAGAGAGAGAGAGAGAGAGAGAGAGAGAGAGAGAGAGAGAATGGCTGCAAGATTAGAGAAACTCGTTGGTTGAAGAAATTGTTCAGTTTATTTCAAACTACAGTTCTTCACCCACAATTCTTTCAAATTAACAACTTTTCTCAGAATACACACAGACTGCAGGTGGAAATGTTCAACTTACAGACTTACAGAAGTGCAAGAAGTCCAAAATCTGACCAATGTGGTTTCTTTTAAACTCCATACTCCATCCATGATAAACACAATGTTGCTAACTTAATGCAAACTGCGTTGTAGTATGTATATAAAGATGATTTGGGGAAAATACCGTCCTCTTACATTTTTTCCCTCTGATATGGCATCTCAGTTTGCAGACCTACCCAGAGCCTCCTGAAATGGCATGCAGAAATTGTCTATAGACACCTCACTCACTCCTTTATCTTTTAGTATCTTGTCTGTAGTCTTTTTGGCTACACCAAAGTACACTTGTTGCTCTCAGTGCTGCACAAATATTAAGGAGTTCACAGTCCACCTCTGGCACAATGCTTGAAGCGCCTCACATGACATCTCCATTCTTTTGCCAAATGCTGGTGGTCTGGACAGCTCCACAAGTGTGTCCTGCCTCCAGGGTAGAGGGGAAGCAGAGCACAGGCTTACTCCACTTGAAATGCATAGATTTCCTGAATTATTATCTCCTCTACATCCACCACTCTGGAATCGAAGGGAGGAAAGAGATCAGAATCACTTTTCCAAATGTTTTATCAGTTTCCCTTTAATATTCCTGAGAATACTCTTTTTTTTTTTTTTGCATCATACTTGGTGATGCACAGGGTTTACTCCTGGCTTATGCACTCAAGAATTACTCCTGGCAGTGCTCGGGGGACCATATGGGATGCTGAGAATCGAACCCAGGTCTGCTGTGTGCAAGGCAAAAGCCCTATCCACTGTGCTATCACTCCAGCCCCTCTTTTCTTAACTCAGAGATCTTTCAATATTTTAATCTTTCCAGTGCCTGTATCACCTGAGGTGTGTGTGTGTGTGTGTGTGTGTGTGTGTGTGTGTGTCTGTGAGAGAGAGAGAGAGAGGGAGGGAGAGAGACTAGAAAAATGACTAGACAATATTTTTAGAAATCTATAATTTATATTAGAACCTTATTTACTGTTTCCATAGCTTTGCCTCTTCTAGAATGTTCTATTAATTTGATTCAAACCATACACTAAGATTTTGTTTTGTTTTGTTTGGGGGCCACTCCCTGTGGTGCTCAGGATCTGCTCCTGGCTCAACACTCAGGGTTCACTTCTGGCGGAGTTTGAGGGACCAAATGTGTTGCTGAGCATCAAACCCAAGTCAGCTGTGTGCATGGCAAGTGCCTTTCCCACTGTACAATTGCTCTATTACCGAAACTGGCTTCTTTCACTTTGTAGTAGGCAGCATTCCAAAAGATATACCTATATTTCATTGCTAAAATCTTCCTTTATGGAATACTATGTTGTGTTATGAGCCACTAAAAACATGTTATTAATTAATACAATGTTTTATGATCTTTTAAGTTTTCTATTTATCAAAGATGTTACTTACTGTAATCTATTCTTTAAGAAACAAGTCATTTTTACTCATAAAGAAAAAGAAGTGAGGCAAATTATTTTATCTATTCCTAATACTTATAGCTTTGAAAGTCTACTTTCAATTAACTGTGAGAACATGCTCACTTAGGGGTTATGTTCTAGTTATCAATGTTTATTCTCCTGTTTTGATACCAAAACTCTCTGGCTATCATGATAGAACACTTTTTTGGGGGGTGGGGTTTTTTGGTCACACCTGGCGATGCTCAGGAGTTACTCTTGGCTCTGCACTCAGGAATTATTCCTGGCGGTGCTTGGGGGACCATATGGGATGCTGGGAATCAAACCCAGGTCAGCCGTGTGCAAGGCAAAGGCCCTACCTACTGTTCTATCGCTCCAGCCTCATTACAAAACATTTTTTAACAATCATATTCATGGTTCATGTTTACATAGTCCTTAAGAGGCAATGGTCTGATAGGCGGAATTGTTTCAGTGTACTTCCCCACCACCTGGAGAAGCCACAAACTTGGTATATTAAAAAAAAAATCAGTGTAACTCTGGGGCATTGCTTTCATGTAGCAGAAAGCATATGCCTCATTCATGGGAATAACAGCTTGATCTGAGGTATTAAAAACATTTTTCCAACGTGTTTTTGAATGAAAAATTTACAGAGAAACCATTTCATCCTCATACCATTGAAGAAAATAACTTATTATCTCCATTTCCAGAGAAAGTACCGCAGTCACTCAAAGCTCTGTTGGAAATCTTCATAGACTGGGTAGTTTTTAAACAGAATGAGTGTATTTTCTTGTGATGATTTACTGCAATAAAGCTCATCAAATTAGCGCCTTTGATCTCCTTCCAGTAGAGACAGTTGCAAATAATGAGAAAGACAGATGCTGTGATTTGTCCAGATTGCAAGCGAACCTCAACAGCTCTGAACAGGATCATGGGCTGAACAAGAAATTGATGAAAATTTCTGCACCTCCACCCTGGATACTTGGCTCCAGTCATGTGAGCCATTGTTTATGTTAACAGGTACATTAAGGGCACTTAGCAGGGGCCTTAAGAGCAAAGGTCACATAGCTGTGGCTGCAGGATAATAAATAATCAGTGCTTGCTGATTATTAATGCATACTATAGAAGTCAGAGTAATCTCCTATTCTAGAACGATGTTTCCTGCCTGAGCACACACTTGGAGCTCTTTGTTTAAACTCAGCTAACCTTGTTTTATCTAGGAAACTATCCCAACCTTAGGGTTTTTATTAAGGGAGTGATTCCCCACATTTCTCATAGTTCTGCAGGCTGGAAATCTGGGAGCCTTTTACAAAGGCAGAAGTTTCATTCATGAAGACTCTTCCCCCATGACCTAACCACCTTCCCTCATTCCTTCCTTTATATCATCACATTGGGATGTCAGGATTTCAACATATAAATTTGGAGGGACAGAAACTTTCAATCCATAAGAAGGAGCCCGTGTTGAAACACTGTATGCCTGAAATCCAATCATGAATAACTTTGTAATTTCATGATGATGAAATAAAATAATAATTTTTGAAAAAAAAAGAAAAGCCTACGTACAGAAAGTTCCAGACTGTTTTTGCAACGTTACATATGACAAGGATATATGACAAGAACTCTAACCCAAACAGTCTGACTCTGGACAAACTCACCTGGTTCCCTCCCTCATGTCTTCATGTCTGTACTCAAAGGTCACTCTGAAGAGGGTTTCCCACCCACTTAAACAGGAACCTTTAGGGGTGTCCGATGCTTTCTATTCACTCTACCCTCTCCAGAGCACACTCATATCAATCTGATCGCAGTTAGTCATAAGTTCACTTACTGCCTGTCAGCCTTCCTCTCTGAAAAATAAATGCTATTGGGACAGGAAATCTCCCTGTTGTACCCCAAGTGCCTACAACAGAGCCTAGCACATTGTAGATGTTCCACACTTATTTGCTGAACAAGTTAAAGAAGTAAACTCAGATATTTCTTTTGCATCCCCCATATTTCTTTTGCACAAGGTAAGCAGGTTGTTTTTTAGTGTTGGAGTATATTTCAGGGTAAATGGGAATATGTTTGGGGGTGTCTCTGTCACTTCCTTAACCAGATGATGCTGTATTTGGATTATCAACTTAGACTTTGAAAACACCCTCCCAGGACGTGTATCCTGGGTCTTTGATTTATCTGATCATTAGAAAGTGACCTAATATGTCTGTACCCAACTCCATCATCTTCATATTGTTGATGAGAAGAGTATGTACCACCTGGAGTTGCATTAGAATTAAGTGACACTCTGAAAAGGCATATAATAATTCCTAGCACATTTTTTATGTAGGAGTACTGCTATTTATTCAGCCACTGATTAGCCGATTTAATTGAGCATGAACTCCACCTTACTTTTCTTTCATTTTTTATAATTTTATTTATTGAATCACCGTGAGAGCAGTTACAAAGCTTTTGGGTTTAAGTCTTGGTTATACAATGAAACACCCATACCTTCACCAGTGCCCGTTCTCCACCCCACAAAACCCCAGTATACCCCCATCCCACACACTCCCCCTACCTGTGGGGCAGATGATTTCCACATTACTCTCTCTCTCTACTTTGATTACATTCAATATTTTGACAACAGACC